GACACATCAACAACAAAAATTTAATCTCGTCTTCAAATTCTAAGGCCGCGATCACATTAAATTCCAAAAGGATTATTTACATACATTTTAAAGTCACCTAAAACACACCTTGGGTGCTGATTAACAAAATTAATCATATTTGAGCATGATACATTATAAAGGGTTCGAATAAACACACGATTTACATGAATTCACACACAAAGTTAATGATGGTTAACCGGAGACGAAACGTCAAACTTAAAATTTAAAACTAGCATCTTATAGAGGGAAAAAAAGGGGCATAATGTTTCATTTATTTTGAAATATCTTTTTAAATGATTTTAAAAAATAAAGTAAAATAAAAGCGATTTTGCAACATTTCTTTTTTTTCAGTTTCAAAACGGCATTTTGTTAAGCATCAAAATACGTAACTTTGCCAAATTTAAACTACACTATCTTTTATCTACAGTTTCCGAGATCTCCATCGTGGCTTTCGAATTTGAATCACCCTGTATATCTTACCGTCATTTTTTTTCATTCTTTTTGCTGATTACATTGATGTTTCAGAACCTATATTACACTTATCTACATGATTATATCTCATATTTTTCAAAATCTCGATAAATCCATGGCCTACTATTTAAAAACCGTAAAAAATAAAGTTTTTATTTTTGGTTCATGACTAAAATTTTACGGAAATAACCGTTTTATACAGCTGACTATCATTTGTGTGTTAATATATTTAATTAAATTAGATTCCGATAATAATTGAACTAATTGGTTTTGATTCCTCCAGCTTACCAGCTATGCGCGAGCAGCCCATCCTTGTCGCACATAGGAACAACGATAACCGAAATGAGAAAAGAGTACTTTCAACAATTTTTATTTATTGATTTTTATTTATTTATTGTCCTTTTTGTTCTGGGCCCTCTGCAGGTTTTCAACCAATTACAGAGAGACCCGCAAAATGCTTTTTGGAGATGCAGAAGATGAATTAGGAAAAACCTAATTCCGAGTAACCGGCAGAATTCTCAAAACTAATCAAAGGAAATTCCCATCTCTGTCACAGATCAACAATTCTTACCTCAGCCCAGGTTCGAACGCCCGCTACACAGTCGGTAATTTTGCAAAGATTGGCGAAAGGAAGACGGTCGCTGAATCTTTTACACGAGTGTAATAAATTTCTGGGATCTTTCATGCACAAGGATATTTATCTGAAAGGGATGGTGATCTCTTAACAACAATCCAATCGTGAAAGTTTTGGACATTGGTTGTAGAGGTAGCCCTACTTGTCTCCAGGGGATTACTTAGGGTCCCTGATTGGTAACTCCCTAAGTTAGAGGGTTATTAGTCATGACAAAAATGTTAAAATTGTAAATTTCTACTTGATTTATATGAGACGTACTTCAATTTAGTAGAGCAAATCTGGGCAGGGGAGTATTTATGACTAAGCACAGAATTGGTTTATTTCATTTGAGTTTGTATTTCTGTAGTGTTATTTTTCCTTTTAGAATTGTGTTAAAATGTAATAATAGGCACATCTGGTCGTTTGCGATACGAGGTTGTGCTATCGGACGAAATCTAATTATGGCACGTGTTTTTATGGCAGTTAGAAGAGATAACGGGTTATGTAGGTGTTCTAATAAACTTTTATTTTTCGTTCATGGGTAAAATTTTACGGAAATACCCTTTTTGAAGCACCAGAAATCTGAATCAAACAAAATCTCGATGACGTCTGTCTGTCTGTCTGTTTGTCTGTCTGTCTGTACTCTCATTTCCAGCTAAACGGCTGGACTAATTGAAACCAAATTTCGTATACATATTCTTAGACATAATAGGAAAAGCCGAAATGCTTGTGGCTAATGCAAAGGGGTGGGAAATGGTATCGCCATTATTTTATTAAAGAGAATCAGATTTCAAACGAGGATAACACGTTGAAATTCAGTTGCAAAAGCTATTTATCAGATTTCTACGGAACCCCGCGCAGTAAGATGAAAAACATAGTTGAAAAGAGATGGTTTTCTAGAAAATCGTGAATATCTCGGTACTTTACGCTAAAAAACCCCGTGAAGCGACTAAAATGGTGTCGCGAATGTAAAATAAAAGTCGCAAAACCCTTGACTAACGTTTCCTTCTTTGGTCAAAATTAAAAACGAGACTTAATTAATTTAGGTACCAATTAGACAGTATTGAGAGATTTTCAATACTCGTTTCACAAGATTTGATAGGACCATTACATACAGTTTCAACAGTGCGGTGCACCTGCGCACAACGCCACAACCTATCGAACAAATGGAAAATTGAAAATTTGTCCAATAGGTATCCTCGCACGATTAAGGCATTGTGCGCAGGAGCACCATCCTGTTGAAACCAACAGTTTCTAACTTCTGTTTTTTTGTGTGCAGAAGGTACATCGTTGTATTCGTAATCAAACGTGCTGCATAATACCTACAGTGTGTACTTTTTTTACGGCCCAAATATGCATGACAAACGGATTGTGTGCGAAAGAAGGGGGGAGGGGTCAAGGTTGGAATTAAGAGCTTAGGATTTCTGGGGTTTCCCTTTTCCCTTTTGATTTTGTAAAAAAATAAACGACACAATCACACTCCTCAAACTGTAATCGTTTTACACTATTTAAAAAAAAATTGGTTTTGGCCCCCCTACCAGTCATTCTTTTTTCATTTTTATATGTTGCACTATGTAAAAGATGATCCATTTGTAATGACTCTTACACGGTCTGCAGATCTTGAATCCGATTGCACTGTTGGTATAATTAAATTCCCACTGACTGGCCCAAGAGATTATCTCTCTTGAGAGGTACTCGGAAATGATGAAAAAAAAAGACTGTCAAAAACGTTTCGCGGGCAGCGATTATAAAGTCGCGTCTTTCCACTGCACCTTACGGCTGAATATTCATGTGTAAAATTGGGGGGGTCGTTGAGCCTTAATTTGTGCATAATTTTATTAAGTCATACTTCAGGTTCGACTACCTGCCGGCGAAGGGTAGCGAACTGTACTTGAATCCGCATACTTGACCGTACATTTACTTGCAAAATTCGAGTGGTAGGTACGCTATTTTCTATTTATTTCTCTTGGGTTAATTAAATATTTCGCTCTTTGAGTAGGTGTGAAATGCACTCATTAAGTATTCGCGGGAAGGCGTTGGCCTCACGTCAAAATAGACAAGCGAGGTTGGAAGTGATGCGAAAATAACGCAAAATAATTTTGCTTTGCATATATAACGATCGGTGCCTTCTATATTCGTGACTTGGTAGTTTATTGCTACTGTAGAGCCGCAAGTGTCAGTGGGAAAATCAAGTAACTTAGAATTATCATGGGTAACGCACACCTATTTACTTTCACTCTTTGGGTTTGTTAATTTGTCATTCAATTACTCATTGTTTAAAAACAAAACGCCCTTAATGTAAAACAAAGTCGACGGTTCCCATAAAGTAGAATTTTTTATTTTAATATGGTAACATTGCGGTGCTATCGTGGCGCATCAAACCGGAAACGGAGTATTCTAAATCACGCAGAGTGATTTTATTTTAGTCAAAAACACCATTTGATGATTACAGATACAATATAAAAGTTATCCCATTATGTACACCGTCGGTTTCAGGATAGCCTCAGCCCAGACTCCGTATGTAAATCACTTGAAATTATTTCAGATTAGACAATTGAATAGGTTTTTAAAGGATGTGCCATACAATTCTTCGATTCATTTAAATTTTGGAAGCGGGTGTATGAAATGTAAGTGAAAGTGGGGTCTCTCTGTGATTCAAATTTGCCGCTTTGGGACACTTTCTTTGTTAATTTTTTGAAAATTTCATATCAAAACGGGGAGAAGGTAACCCGTACAACACCTGCATAACCCGTTATTGCGATAATTAGATGTCGTCCGATAGCACAACCTCGTATCGCAAACGACCAGATGTGCCTATTATTACATTTTAACGCGCAGTTTTACGCTTTTTAATTAAATAAATAATTCTAAAGAAACAAAACGTAATTACAAACAATTCTAAAAGGAAAAATAACACTACAGAAATACAAACTCAAATGAAATAAACCAATTCTGTGCTAAAATCAATAAATAAAAATTGTTGAAAGTACTCTTTTTTCGTTTTGGTTGCGCATAGCTGGTAAGCGGGAGACAATTAGTTCAATTATTATCGTAATCTAATTTAATTAAATATACGAGGGGAAATCCAACTAGTCGCCTGTTCAATAAGAAATCGAAACAAATCAATTCGATTTTTAATTAATTACTCAGCTCCTGTTCGTGCTAAAATTCCCGAACATATGGCAATCGATTCGTTAATTAAGCGCGAGCAATTTGACACCAAAATCTCCTCGATAGGCGCTCCTTTATTGTAACTCAGTTAATTAGTGCATGCTAATTATGCATACTCAAAAGGCTGAATGGAAGCTCATGAACTCTGTACATTAATTAGCTTTATGTTAATTGCAAGTTTTCGGATATAGAGCCGGCTGGTGCTTATCTAGTTTTTGCAAGCACGCCGCCAACGAGCAAAACAACTCGGTTCGGCACTTGTTCTATCCTTGCTTTTGTTTATTATGTGGAACTAAAACGGCCCATAAACATTTAACAGGGCTCAAACAAAAAAATATTAACTGTCCCTCATCTTCCCCATGACGAGACCCTTCGGTGGTTACAAAAATAATTCCAAAATTTCAAAACATGAACGGTCGTAGACGGACTAATTAATTACGGTATCTCCTGGCATCGCGGAAAGTTCTCGAAATTGCGGTTTTCTATGTAACGAAGCCCAAACCAATCGTTACTATACAGGGTGGTCCTCGTAAACGGCAAACTCCACTCAGAAATTAGGGACGCTTCGTTACAACGTACCTTCTCGATGACAATTGTGTTTACGCAAAACAGTTTGGAAATTAATGCAGTGCATTATTAATATCTCTTCAATATTAAAACCGCATTGTTTGTTAATACTCAAACACAATCATATGGAAACGAAGTAAGTCTCTCTTTACGTGGTTTAGTAAGAACGCGGTGGTGATCTAAACTTTAATTACCACTATCTTAAGAACGGGGTGTTGAAAGAGAGTTCGCCAAAAACATATTTTTACCAATTTTTTTACGGAAACGACTAAACGCACTTTCTTGAGAAAGCTAAAAGGTATGTGGTACTATGATCGTATTGACTTTCTACAATCGCGAGTCGTTTCAGACCGGGCTGAAGTTACATTCGTTTTTTTTTAATCAACGGCCTTCGAAAGTGATGGCACCGGGACCAATTTTCATCCCCTTTTTGGAAAAGAGCCCTGAACCTCGACAAATTCGTCCCCGAAGTTGATAAATTGCGCAAGTGTGTGAGTGAGTGAGTTTTGCACGTGGACGATAAGGGCGCCGTGGAGGCCCAAGGGCCCACTTAAAACCCTCTAACTATCGTTTTTTGAAAAGTGCCCCACAGTTCGAAAAAATCCATTTTGTTTGGTCAATGGCGCGGTATACGAATAATGCCAGTTGCAATTCAAAATTGATTTATTAAAATTGAGTGAGTTTTGCACGCGAATGAACAGGGCGCCGTGGAGGCCCAAGGGCACTTTCCGAAAAACGACAGGTAGGGGGTTTTAGGAGGGTCTTTGGGCCTCCACGGCGCCCTTATCCTCCGCGTGCAAAACTCACTCACTCACAACTTCGAGGACGAATTTGTCGAGGTTCAGGGCTCTTTTCCAAAAAGGGGATGAAAATTGGTCCCGGTGCTATCACTTTCGAAGGCCGTTGATTTAAAAAAAAAACGAATGTAACTTCAGCCCGGTCTTAGTTATTTTTTGTTTTCCCGTTTAGGTTGATACTATCCCAAAAGCGAATGTCCTTAAAAAAAAAAGCGAATGTAACTTCTATTTTAAGGAAGTTTCGTGTTTATTGCTACAGTGAATGTCAAAAACATTTACAATTGACCCTTGTATTTAGATATACATGAACTCCTATCAGCGGTAATCTACTTATGATTCGATGTTAGTTTAAATACAACTGTGAGTGACATAGTACTCCTTCAGAAATGTCTGACCAACCAACAACAATAATCAAAAGTAGACTATCGTACTTTCAACAATTTTCGGAGGATTGGTGGAAGGAAGATGGCGAGATGAGACTGTTGCACGGGAATAACAGATTACTGGGATCTTTTATGCACGATGAACTGACACGACACGGATATCTAACAGAAGGAGATAATTGTTTAACAAAAGTGAGGGTTCTAGATGTGGGATGTGGAGGTAAATATCAAGTTATTTTGAATTATCCACTTTCCAATAAAATGTAGTGTGAGGTTGGAGATAATCTCGAATACTTCAAGATGAAAATTCACGAGATGCGCAGGCGGTCAGGTACCAAAAGTCCTCGAAAAATATCGGCTTAATCTCGTGATTTCAGCCATTAAATTTTGATTGATTTTAGGAGGTTTCCTCTCCGAAATATTGGCTAAAATGGGATGTGAAGTAACTGGAATTGACGTGACGTCCAATCTTGTTGAGGCAGCAAAAATTCACGCATCCTCCGATCCTCTCACGTCCAAAACGGTCTACATCACCGAATCGGTGGAAGATCACGCGAAGAATAATGCCGAAAAGTACGATGTGGTCGTGTCCAACTTTGTAATTGAGCACGTCGACGACAAAGAGTACTTTTTGAACTTGTGCATGCAGTGCGTCAAACCGGGTGGGTTGTTTTTCGTAACGGCCATTAACAAAACGTTCCTGAGCTGGTTGATTATTATAACTCTTTACAAGAACCTTTTCAAAATTATCCACGCGGACATGCACGAATGGAGTCAGTTCACTCCCGTCCAATATACTCGGCAGATTATTCTCAAGAGTAAGTCATCGAGTGCGCTTGTCTCAATAAGTGCCCCTGGAAATTTTCAGATAATTTTGAAATACTCGACACGCGCGGATACAGACACAGTTTGCTGTCGTGGAAATGGTCGTGGTCATCGATTTGGGGGGTTGCTTACGTTATTGAAGCAAGAAAACGGTAGCTTTAAGTAGAACAGTAAATTTTGGAGAAATATTTGAATGTGTAATTAAATAAAAACGGCTTAATAAATCAAGAAATTATAGCAACAGATGGAGAACACAAAGATACCGGGAATTGAAAAAGAAACAAAGCAACCGAGGAAGCGTAGGAAACCGAAGAAGTTTGAGAAGTCGCGCGATCAGGAAAAGCCGAGGGAACCACTAAGGTTTGTGGAGCAGGAGAAAACGCAACAGGTCAAGAAAACGAAAAATCCAAGGAAACTTCTTTTCCAATTCCACTTTACTTCCCGATATCCTTGCTGCGCAGGACCATTAATTCCAAGTATGCCCTTTGGTCTCTCCAATGCACCAGCAGAGTTTTGATGAAATTTAAATTTCACCCTTGAAGGCGTAATATTGAACATAATGTTAAAATGCGCTTTATTTGCATATTCGAAAATAGTAGGAGAACGTTAGTCATGAAATTGAATTCCGCCGTAAATCGAGCGTATTGGTCCATAAAGGGCTAAAAGGTCCATTGAGAAAGTAATCATTTAGCGGCGAAGTTGATTAAAATTTCAATTATGTAGGCTAATAAAAACTTTACTACTTCTTTATTACTTCCTTCAAAGTTCAAGGTGTGGTAATGTCATTTCTCCCACGTTATTTTTTTCTTCTGTTAACTAATTTGTAATTACTCCAAGCTAATTTAGATGAGATAGACAGCACGTTTTTTTTATGTGTAATTGGGTCATTAGGGTGAAAATTGAGATGACCTAAAAACGGCGTCGTTTGGACTTTTCCTTTTTATTGCGGGCGTCTGTACTAAGCAGGCCGTGACTAATACGACCTACGTGATTCGACCTTTTCCTTTTCGTACATTTTCATCGGCTTACTCTCACCTCATCTCTAATGCGTTACCAATAAAAACTAGATTTCTATTTCGACGCGGGGGTGGATGATCTTCGAGGGGGTGTGCTCGTCCGAACCTGAATGGATCCGTCCCATTCTCCATTATTAAAGCGCTCCACACCCTCAGTAATTAGTGTTGACGGAGACCCCTTACCTTTTATATAAACATAAACACCCCCTAAGACGAGTTTTATGTGTGCCTTCGCTTCGCTCGCTGCAATAAAAGCAGTTAAGTGATCATTTTCTTGCGCGCTTTTACTTGATTGAATTTTCAACCGATAGGTCATGCTTCATCATCCTTTGATTTAATTAATATTAAATTAACTTGCGAACAATTGGTGTTTTTGTATGACGATGCAATGAGATCTTCATTAACGGCAATTTCAAGGTAATGTACCGTTAAGCTTTGTGTTGTTTTTCCCTTCGATTGCGTGATTGACTGTTTATGCAAAAATTCTTACCTTGATCCTTTGCGAACTGTTTTTACTGCCCACGCTTCAAATTAGCCGTTACCTTAAATTTTTTAGTACCACCAATTTAGCAGTTGCTGTTCTCATAACCAAATCTGTTTACCATTCTTGATTCTAGTCCAGTGTGCGTCTTTTTTTGCAAGTGGCACACTTTTTCGCTGACCAATTACTAGTTTCGCGTGGTTCGACCTCACTCAAGTCCGTGATGATCCATTGCTCCTCTTCGTCTTGCAGGGTTTCATCAAGGAATCAACGAATATTAAATATCTGCAGTCAGCTGTGTAAGATGGAGTCGCTGAAGGTTGGGAGGGTATAACCTCCGCTCAGATTCACTTAGACCATGTGTCAAATTTGGTGTCCAGAGGGATAGGCGTCTTATGTCAGACGCACAGACAGACGGACAGACACTGCCCTTTTATACGCTGTGTCTAAGATAAGGATGTCTATCATGGGGATCTTACAAATCATAGAAGAAAATTCCGATTACTTCCGAAGATATGCCAGAAAAACCGAATTTTACCGATTTTGTTGTTATGTTTGTCTGAGGTTATTTGAACAGATACAAAAAAATAGGAAACACTTTCTCAGTGCCACTTTTTGAGCTCTACAATGCAGCGTTGAGAGATTTGTAATACAACGTTGCGTTTTGAAGAAATCGTCAACTTTATTTTTTTACATGGCTCGTAAAAAAAGTGCATACTGTATTGAGATTTTAATAGCATTTTTATTACGAATACAACGATGTTGTACGACATACAAAAAGAAAACCAAAGTCGGAAACTGTGGTTTGAACAAAATGTTGCACCCGCGCACAACGCCCTAATCGTGCAAGAATTATACTTATCGGAGAAAATTCCTGGAACATGTAAAATATGTCTTCTAGGTATTCTTGCACGATTGGGGCGTTGTGCGCGGATGCACCATCCTGTTGAAACCACCGTTTCCAACTTTTGTTTTTTTTGGATAACAAAGCTGTCTTCCATAGCTCAAAAGGTGGCTATGCCTTTTGTTTATATTTCTTGTATCAGCTCAAATAACACCAGAAATAAATAAAAACAAAATAGTAAATTTCGGTTTTTCTGGCATATCTTCGGAAATCGGAATTTCTGACAATAACTGTTTAATTGCCCAACTTTTCCCTAATTTAACCATCTTCGTATCTTCTATGGTTTCCGAGATTTCCATGATAGACATCCTTATCTTAGACACAGTGTATCGCGTATATTTTGAATGTATGTCAGGTGATCTTTAAAAGTTTATGTGTATAGATCCCCCTCCCCATTAATCATCCATCAAGATGGTAAACATCGATAAATATACTTATACTTGTTTCTATTTCTTATAATACACGCGCTACCCGCTGTCTAAAAATACGGACCAACCCTGTATAGATAATAATGTCACTATAATCGCGTAAACTCTACGATAATACTTTAACGTTAACGCGTCTTTAGACAACGGAATACTAACAGCTTTTACAGTGAAATTAGAAACGCATTTGAAAAACAAGATGGTGTTATACAGCGAAAACTGAATAAAAAGTTCCTCTACCAGTTTTTGATCAGCCCGGCACTTTTTTTTCGACGTCCTGAAGCTTGTTTACTAGCAGACGGCGGACATTTTGAACAACTGTTGTACTCGTCATAATTATAGTTTATTTTGAACCTTCTTTTGTTTTTAAAAATGTGTTATTATTAAGTTTAACCAGTGGCGCAGTAGTGGGGGCCGGAGATTTTTAAAACCGCGGTAGCTCGAAAAATACCGGTCTGATGGAAAACTGGTAGAGGAACTTTTTGTTTAGTTTTTGTCGTATAACACCATTTCATAGTCCGTGTACGCGAACTTCGCCTCTTTGTAATTGGGGTTGAGGCGAAACGACCCTGTAGAGTGAATTGTTAAACGGAGTACGTTAACAAAAACAATGTATAATAAATGGCCATCAGGTGCTAAAAGAACATTAATTGTATTTTTATAAACACCCTGTATAATAACAACAAATCGAACTGCAATACGTTAATATGTTAAGAATTTTTAGGCGCAGGGCAAAATTCTACTGCACTCTCTGTACACCAACACCAACTAGGTAGATGGTGATTTCGGCTCTACATCAGTATACTATATTAAATAGCGCTTGAGCATAAAATTTTTTTCAATAAGTTTGTAATTAAACTAAACGGTAGTTCAAATATACAACGAATGGCAGCAAAACTACAACGCGATAGAACTATTCATAAGTACCTTTATTGTTTGTGCACCATGAGTTTTAGATGCTTTCTGATCCCCGTTTACGATCCAAATAAAGTTCACCCTACAGGTGTACTCTGCACGGACCGACTTTAGAATCTTAGGGGGTTACGGACGAGCATGGCAAACGAAGCGAGCCTGCCATTGGTCAATGCGGCTCGTCAAACACCACAGCGAGCTACTCTCCGGAAATGTAAGCAGCGTCTAAACTGCCAAGAAGCTCGGTAGAGCTGTGAAAGTCAGGAAACTTTCCTGGTGGCCAACGACCTCGCAACCTCCATTACCCTAGGTCAGGATCAGGCCACTTTGCAACCAGCCCGACCTAGATCACGGTTGCCGATGTGTCTACTGGCACAAAGAACGCCATCATACCGCCTCGGTTCCGGAAACTACCTCAAAAAAACTTTCGGGCTATATTTTCGAAAGGAACCATTTCGTCCACGCCCTCCAACAAAAGCCAAAGAAAGTTACTGCAATACCCCAGGACCGGCTACTCGTCTCCAGGAAAGGCCACGAGGACGTCTACCACGACGCCCCCACCGCCGGGCACCACGGAATCGAGAAGAGTTGGAAGTCAGGGCTTGCAACTACACCGTCCATAAATAGAGCACCAGTTCAGGACGTGGGATTCCGTGTCGGGGGCTGTGACATCCCGGAAAATTTTCAACGCACTCTCCTTTTTCTTGGAAATGTGACGAAAATCTTCGTCTGCAACGTGAAGGTGACTTGATGTAGACGTTAACTCGCTCTGGGTTTAATTTCCCTCCGATTAACTTGAAACATGCAAAACATGCTACTACGTGCCGCTGATTAACGAATGCCGCTTTCCCACTATTTACACTCATTTTTATTTGTAGATATCGCTCTTGTAAAATTTGGCCCAATAGGCGTTTTTTGTAACAAAGTGAATTATATACATTCAACATTCGGTTACTACGACATATTTAACTTGGCTCTTCTTGTTCTTATTTTAATTACAATACGCTTCATTCACCTCATCCCGAATGTATACATGTAATAATTATTTATTTATAGCATATGTTAAATTGACATTTTAATAGGTTTGAATGAGTAGGCTAAGCCGTTCTTTAACCGAAAGGATAGATAAAGTGATCACTTTTAGTCCAGGCTAAATAGCTCTAAAATAATTTATTTAAAAAAAATAATTAGTTACCGGGCGAAACCGGGTTTTTCAGGCAGGTGAAATGAATAGAAATTAGGAAAAAATAATTAAAACAGCTGAATTTTTCCGCGGGTGAAATCCCGGGAGTTGAAAGGGGTGGAAAGTGGTGTTTTGCAAATTGTGGCAAAACTATTAACTTTAGACGAAAATGTAAAAGTCATAGATATTTAAAAAATGACTTGTATCGGCACTATTTTCCAATTTTCCTATAAAAACTGGAATAACTGTTTTTATCGTTTTTTATTCTTATTTTTGCGAAAAAAATGTCGTAGGGGTTTGAAATTTGGAGAAAACA